TTTCATGGTAAACCTCCCTGTTTTGGGTAAATGTAGTAACTGTAGCCACACGGGATATTTAGTCCAGAGATTTTTAGAGTTAAGTATTAAAAGTGACTTTTTTTTTTTTAAGGTGAGAGAGGAATAGCGGCATGACTTGAACACAAGGAAGTGGGACAGTTTAAAGATCAGTAATCAGCTTTCCCAAGTCAGCTGTGTAGGCTTGCAAGAGGGTAACTTTTAAGAACAGTTGTAGAATCCAGTAGGGTTTTGTTTTGTTTGCTTGTTTGTGTTTTTACATTTGTAACTAAGTTACCCAGGAATCTTGTTTGCATGAGGCAAGCCCTTAAACTGATTACATCTTTTTAAATAGGTTAGTGCATTTTTTTAAGTCCACATTTTACTGTTGATTTATTATGCAAAAGGAGGGGGAGGGGCCAACTTTAAAGACGCAAGGGGCTGCAGGAGAAGATCGGATCCGAGGTCCCAGGAGGGCAGGTGGCCTGAGGAGGAAGGGAACCCACCATGGGCTAAGTTATCATGTGGAATTCTCTTTCCCTTTAACCTGATGCCGCCCATTCACACACAGTGTGTGTTAGCAAACAGCTCTGAGTACAGAATTGCTGCGAGTTACCTTTTCTTCAGGTGTACTGAAGAAGCTCATTTTGAGAAAAAGTAGTTGTGCGCCTCTAAGACAGATCTGGTGATAATTCCCTTCTGGAATTGCCCTAGTTGGCTTCCAAGCACTTAGGTGTGAGCACTTCTCTATCTATAGGACTGAATGCATCTATTTTTGTAACTGAGGCTGGAGCGTGTGTGCTCATTCAGTAACTAGCCATGTCAGGGAACTAGACTCCTTAGAGCTCTGTAGCCCCATCTCGAACTACTTAGAGCCCTTCTCTGGCGAGATGCTCTTCCTGACCGCCCACTTGCATGGCGCCCAGGCTGTGTGTCTTTTGAAACTGCACTGCAGAGCAGATGTAGGGGATGCTAATAAATGCAGCATGCTGGACCCCGAGCAAGGTAAGGGCCTGCCTTTTTCCCCTGCCTGTTGGAAATACATGGCTAGGAAATCATTCGCAGCGCGTTTATAACGGGACCAGCTGAGTTAGACGGGAACATTTGAATTGGCTACTCCACCCTTCCTAAAAGTGAAGAGGCAGGAATGGAAGTGCTGTGGGGCTCAAAAGGGAGGTGAGGCAGTAAACCAGATCTTTCCCATTTTTTTCTTTTTCCTAGCCTGGTCCTCTGTTTCTGTGATCTGCCTTTTGAACTGTTTTTGTGGCTGATCAGTTCCACCTAATATGTCTCTTGATTTCTGCTATTGTAATACTCAGGCGACATGCTGTTCTCTTCATTTTTATAAGCTTTAGATGCTTCTGCCTGTCATATTCTGGCGGTTTATCTTCAGCGTCTGGATTTGCTTTCAGACTTGAATGTCTATCAAGCTGCCGTTGCTTTGAATGTGAGATCAAAAGAAGATGAATTCCAGTAAAAAATTTCCTTCCATGAAGAAAAGATTGGGGCCTATGTAAACATCCCACTGACAGTTCCCAATGAGTTATTTTAGCCAAGTATTAGCACCTGGATGACAGACAGTCCAGCATTCCATGCTAAATAACAAATCAGTTGCTTCCGTGGCAGAACATTGCCACCACAGCAATACATTTTCAGAAGGAATCCTTTTCTTCCTCCTCCTCCCCTTCCCCCCTTTTTCTTTTCTTATTGAATATGGCTGTTCAGCTGCTCATCTTATTTTTCAAGCTGACTTGCTCTGCCTTTAGCGGTTTACTTTTCTTTACAGTATCTGTCAAGTTACTCGGGTGACGGAAGACAGGACTTTGATAATTAGTTTGGGGCGGGTTAAAGAGTGTTCGAGTAGACAAGCTAGGCATCTGGAGATAAACAGGTAGTTTGGTTGATTGCAGAGAAGGAAAATGTAAGAGGAAAAGCAGCAGAAGCAAGATCAAGGGCATATCCCAGGAATGCGGGACGATATGTTCTTTAAAAATACATGTGACAAATTCCTCTAAAGTCTGCAGAATCTGAATTTTCTTCCTTTCTTTCTTCCCTATTTTTTTTTTTAAAGCATCCTGCCTATGTAAATGTCACCACAAAAATATCTCGAGAGCAGGTTTCCCAAAAACCCTGCCTGTGTGTATTCGTCTGCGAGAGTGAGCTGTTTGGCTAGGGCTTGGTCTGGCCGGGGCACACGTTTCTGATGCCGTGTCGCTGCTTGCAGACCTGGAGTGATTTAGATACGTGTAGCATTAATAGATTTCTTTAAGCGCTAAATGCAACTTTGAAAATTACCTGCAAGCTCCAACTGATCTTTCAACTTTGAAAGTGAAGAATTACTTGAGGAATTCTTGTGGTTTCTTTGTCATTTAGTGAGAGCCCAGCCAGCTACTGTGGAGGCAAAGCGTCCCTGAGGTTGCCTACAAAGGGCAATGTTCCAGTGTGCTTTCTCCTCAAGTGTGCTTCAGCCGCACAGCACTTCCTGTTTATTCAAACATCTTTTTTACCACTCGGCAACCCCCGCTTCACAGAAACAGCCAGAACCCATCTACAGCAAGAAGACGGAAATCCAAAGGCAGACAGTGCGAGCTCACTCCGTCAAACTCTTCATTTTCTCTGTAAGTGTCCAGAGAAAGGAAAAAAAAAAAAAAAAAAAGGAACATTTTGCTGGGTTAAACTTTTAAACTCGGGATCCGCTTCTGCGCATTCTCTGAAGGGCAAAATGAGATGTTCCACCTTGTTTACTGCTTTCTCTCTCTCCCCCCCCCACCCCTTCTCTCTCCATCAAAAGCCGTTTTCTTTTTAGAGATTTGAGAAGACCGTTGGTTGGTTCTAACTCCTTGTGAATCCACTCTTGCTTTCAAATGGGTCTTGGGATATAATCAGCTAAGGAGGCAGCCGAGTGTCGTCAGGACAGTTTTACAGGCTTGAACGTAGATGAGAACTCTCTCTGCCGATGTGTGACTTTGTTTGGTGTTGCCTTCTTTTTCTTCCTGTTATCACGAGGGGTAAGAGAGTCCAGGGATGGTGCCTTTGTAATTCTGCCTCTGCACAATTGTCCTGTGATGTTTGCATCATGACACCGTCATCACTTGTGAATCGGTCTTGATAATATTTGTACCAATTTCATGCCAATAAAAGTCAGACTGCTGAAACAAGCATGGTCATTATCTCACTCACACTACTATTGTTTAAACGGAGTGGGCTGCGAAAGGAAAGAGAAAGCCCGGCTCACTTTCTGCGATGCTTGTTAACTTTGATGTTGGAAAGCTCTTTTCAAAATTCTCATTGTGGGTAATTAGTATGGCAGGAAAAGCCCTCGGACCTGGGCTGCTCCCTCCCTGTGTGGAAAGAGCAGTGAGATCGCTCTTTCAGTCCTTTCTGTTGAAATGAGTTTCTTAACACATGGTTTGACATTTTTTTTTAAAGGGTTCCACCTTTTCCTGTCTGATGTCCTCGCCCCTTGAGCCTCCCCCACCTCCCTCCACGCCCTTCCCCCAACCCTGACCCCCAACTTCACTGTAATTGGTAAGCCAGGTGCTAATTTTTTTTTTTTTTTTTAACTATGTACCGGTCAGGGAATAGACAGGAAATGGAAAATTAGCTCTTTTGATCTTAAGGGGATTGTTATTACTCCGAACCTTGTTTGTTAGTCCCCAGACTAAATATCCTTAAATTTTATTGTCTAAAACAGCATCTGTAGAATAGAGAAAGAAATGAGCTCTCTGGTTGTCTGAACCTCTAATCGAAGAAATATTTAAATAAATAAGTGCGCCTATGTATGGCTATTGCTGTGCTGCGTTTTTTTTTTTTTCTTAATGTTCAGAAGTTGTTCTACTTTGCAAGAAAAAAATTAGGTTTGTGACTGCCTTAAGGACAATTTGTTTAACAGTAGGAGTAATTGCAGGGAGAATGGAAAGAGTGACTGAAGGTATTTACTCAGATGTCAGTGTAGGTGTGGGGGCCGAAAACTCAGTGTGGGAACAGTGGGCTGCTTTTCTTGGTATCTCAGTCTATTTGATGACCATCAAATTTCCCAGCTCGCTGGCTTTGTTTTTTCTGGATGGCATGTTTGATTATTTATCAGAAGGGGAAGGGAGTAGCTGAAGCAAATAAACATGTGACCAAGTTCTGTTTTGTTTTCCACTCAGAAAGCCATGCCCTTTAACAGATATACAGAAAATAATAAATGCATTGTTTTATGATAAAAGGAAATTATATGTGTCATTTAAAAAAAAAAAAGGGCAAGTGTGTTAACCCTTAAGACTCAGGAGCCTTTTCGACTTCTGAGAATTTGCCAGGCATTTTACTGAGAATTAATCTATCGCGGCATATGATTTTATGGTGCAGGATTTCCCAGGATTAGCTGTTCAGCATTTAGGCTTTTCTAGATGCTTTACTTAGTTATGCCTGCCTCAGTAGCTCCACTTTTAAGTGGGGTGTGTGTGTGTGTGTGTGTGTGTGTGTGTGTGTGTGTGTGTGTCTTTTAAACAGTAATACCATTTGGTCAAATCAGTAGCTATTGCACTTTTGTTGAAGGCTCTGTTCTGACTTGAGATCTAAACATGAACCGCTCAGTTGAAAGAAAGCGTACCAGAGTTTCTGTGGCTGGTGTATAGCCTACTTTATTAGAGGCCAACTTCTGCTCCTCTCTTTAAAGGTGATAGGCAGATCCTGTAATGCAAATAATGACGTGTACCTCTCTGTCCCTCAAAAAACACCTTCTAGACTTCAATATTATGCAATGCGTATAATGATCTTCAGGATTGTTATCTCACATCGAGGCCTCCAGAGACCGAGGGGAGGGCTCAAATCTACAATGAATGCAGATTTTAACACAAGCACGCCAAAAACAGAATGTCGTCGTCGTTGTTGTTGTTTTAATTCTCAGGTGGGCTTTGGAAACCGTATGTAGACATGTTCTGTACTTACGCATGGGCTGACATTCGTGCGCACACCTGTACGTTTGCAATAACTAAAGGATTTTCTATAGGGGCTTCCTCTTTGATTCCTATCGTGACAAAGCGACGGGCATGATCCTAGCATGGTACCTAGCCCCGTCACATCAAGCCCTGTAAATCATAGTTGAAAATCTGCCTCGTTGCCTATACTGTTTTTGGAATGCGAATTGGAAACGTGCACACACAGGGATTCCCTCTTCATTGACTATATAAGGGAACAATGCAGCGGACGCTCACAGCACAGCCCCCACCAGCCTGGCCCTGCATGTATGTCCCTGGGAGCTAGCTTTGCTCCAGAGAGGGCAGCCATGGGACCCGTAGCCTTTCTGCCTCCTCTGGTGTCATCTCAGGTGACTCTCCAGGAGGCAATTGGGTTGGATAATCATACCTTGTACTCGCACAGAGCCCTTTGTCTGGGAAATCAAAGTGCCTGACTAATGCTAACTCGTTAATACTCAGAACACCCTTGGGACATAGGTAGGCTGCAAAGATTATCCCACTTTTGAGGTGGGAAAACGTCCTGTTGTTAAAGCAGTTTACAACTTCCGGGTGTATCTGTACTTAATGGTCAGGCTAGACCTGAATGGGTATGATGCAGGTGCCATGGGAAGCATTTTCCCTGTGCCATGCTCGCCCCGACCACAGGCAGTCCCATGAGAAAGTGTTTTACCATGAAGAAGCCTTACTGGAAAATGTAGCTAGTGCGCGGTACTGATGGTGGGGAAGGAGGAGCCAACGAAGACCGTCGAAGCTTAGTTTGAGTCTATTTAGGATCCAGTGTAGGATTTTGTCCTTGTTGTTTATACGATACGGCGTGGGCTGAAATGTTAAATATTTGTTTTATTTCACATTCACTCGATATGATGTTGGCAATTTAACTTCCACAAGACTCAAGTTCTTTTGTTCTTTGCAAAGACACAGACTCCTGCTCATTGGCTGTGCAAGATTGAGTCAGAAGTTACTCTGTAGTCTCCCCCTTTGGGGGCCAAACAGTTGAAACATAGTGTTAACCCTAGATGTTACTATGTGACTCTTCGGTTCTGGTGTGTCTTAAGCCTCCCTGAAACGGTTACTAAGCATAGTGAAAAAATTAGTCATGTGCCATTTGCTGTTTAAAGTCTTCGGCTGAAAGCTTTTTCAGACATCTCTAGAGTCGGGTGGTAGTTTTTAGGTTGTTTGGTCCCCAGTACTGTTGGTTTGAACCTGAATGTAGAAATTAGATTTGAAAACTCTCTCTTAAAAATGTGTTTTTAATTTTAAAAAGTAATTTTGAAAAGATCCTAAATAATGTGATTCCAGGGTTGCTTAAGAAAATTACTTTCCTTAAGCATACTTCCAAATGTTAACCTTATATCAATACATAGGTGATGAGGGGCGCCTGGGTGGCGCAGTCGGTTAAGCGTCCGACTTCAGCCAGGTCACGATCTCGCGGTCCGTGAGTTCAAGCCCCCCGTCAGGCTCTGGGCTGATGGCTCAGAGCCTGGACCCTTTTTCTGATTCTGTGTCTCCCTCTCTCTCTGCCCCTCCCCCATTCATGCTCTGTCTCTCTCTGTCCCAAAAAATAAATAAACGTTGAAAAAAAAATTAAAAAAAAAATACATAGGTGATGATATTACACTTTATTTTTTATTTTCCTAATTCATTTATGCATTTCCCATGTCTTCTACCATGAGATTATTACTTTCGTGCTCAATGATCATTTGTAAAGTGCTTTTCGAAGTCACTGAAGAATCACTTACCGAATGTCAGGTCCTAGCCTATGGGCCTTCCACGTACTAATTGTGATGTAGAAACTGTTATTTCCTCCCATTCTTGCAGGTGAAGAAACTGTGGCACAGAGAGGTTAAGTAACTTACCCAAGGTCACACAGCTGGCAAGTAGTAGATCTGGGGTTCAAATCAGGGAGAATGGGTTCGTATTCAGGTGGAACGACTGGTGGATGTTCTACCACCATATTTGCTGCTTCTGGATAAATTCGTTAATGTTTTGTAAAGCTAACTTCTGTTTCTTTGGAATTGTTGCGATGCTCTCAAGGTCAGTAATTCCCCCAAATTCCCAGAGAATCCTTATTTCTTCATGCATGAAGACTCAAGTTCCACCTTATGCTAAACTGTGGTTACTGGAAGTTCCAAAAACCATTGTCCCACCATGAGCACAACCCAGTGAACACAGCTGCCCATTCGATGAGCACAGTTTTGTTTTTAATCCCCTTTTTAAGGAAATATTTCTAATCCCTTGACCAGAGCACTGAAATCTTTTCTTTTGCTGTCTTCTATCTGTATCTGCAGTATATTCACATGTATTTATGTTTACATAAAAGATAAAAACTTCATATAGTTTCCTACAAAGTTACCTTTGTGGCTTGAATTCGTCTGAGCATTTCTAACTTTTCCCTTGAAGATCTGTCCTGTCAAGCAAGTACCTGTAGTTCTCTGTGAATGGAAGAATTCCAAATCCATGGATCCGTGGATTTCAGTGGCCATTTGGGGTTGTGTCATTCCTGAAGTACAAGTGAAGGGATTCTAATCCAAACTGCGTGGCCTTTGGCATATTATGTAAACGTTGTGTTTACGTCAAGCGCTTTAGAAGCAAGCCAGACCCACGGCTGGCATTCAGGGTTGGTGATCATTTTCTTGTTCACCACCAGCAGCAGCATG